ACCCTACTGGGAGGCAGAGCATAACCTTCCACATGCTTCTTCTCTTCTTTTCCACCTCCACCTTGGTCCATCCCCAGAGCCTCTTTTATTCCTGGCTCCCATGGTCTGGCCCTTTTTCTGAATGACTCCCTCTGTTAGATTCCCTGACAGGTGATTGAACTGGGGAGAATGTTGGGAGGCAAATCCTCATAACACAATAATTAGTTCTTTAAAAGCCTAGCTTGGCTGGGTGTAATGGTATGTGCCTGTAATCCCAGCTACTGGGGAGGCTGAGGCCAGAGGATCACCTGAGTCCAGTTCAAGACCAGCTTGGGTAACATAGCAAGACCACGTTTTTTTTTTTTTTTCTTTTCGAGACAGAGTCTCAGTCTGTCACCCTGGCTGGAGTGCAGTGGTGCGATCTTAGCTCACTGCAACCTCCGCCTCTCAGGTTCAAGCGATTTTCCTGCCTCAGCCTTCTGTGTGCCACCACACCCAGCTATATATATATATATATATATATATATATATATATATATATATATATTGTAGTTGAGATGGGGTTTCACCATTTTGGCCAGGCTGATCTTGAACTCCTGACCTCAGGTCTGCCCAACTGGGCCTCCCAAAATGCTGAGATTACAGGCGTGAGCCACCGTGCCCGGCCAAGACCACATCTTAAAAAAAAAAAGAAAAGAAAAAAAGTTCAAAAGCCCAGCTTTACAATACTTTGCACATTGTCATATAATGTAATAGAATGTCTCCTTCCTGTTAAATTATCGATGTCTGGAGAATTCAATAAACAAACAAAAAGCTACTCTGCTGTACTCAGGTTCAAAGCCGAATTCTGGTAAATGAATCTTTTCTTTCTTTCTATTTTTTTTTTTTTTTTTTTTTTTTCCTAGATGGAGTCTTGCTCTGTCAGCCAGGCTGGAGTACAGTGGTGTCATCTTGGCTCACTGCAAACTTCGCCTCCCAGGTTCAAGCAATTCTCCTGCCTCAGCCTCCTGAATAGCTGGGATTATAGGTGCCTGCCACCACACCCTGCTAATTTTTGTATTTTTAGTAGAGACAGTGTTTCACCATGTTGGCCACGCTGGTCTCCAATTCCTGACCTCATGATCTGCCCGCTTCAGCCTCCCAAAGTGTTGGGATTACAGGCGTGAGCCACTGTGCCTGGCCTGAACTGGCTATTTTTTTTTTAAAGTACTTTAATTCAGAAGTAATAACAAAACAACCAGGAAAAAGAAAACAATTAGAATTAAACACACAGAGAGAGAAAAGGATAAAAGGTATGGAAGAATATGGATGTGTGGTATTTATTCATTTATTTTTATTTTATTTTGAGACAGTGTCTCACTTTGTCACCAGGCTGGAGTGCCATGCATGGTGCCATCTTGGCTAACTGCAGCCTCAACCTCCCAGGTTCAATCAAGCAGTCCTCCTGCCTCAGCCCCCAAGTAGCTGGGACTGCAGGTGCTGACCACCACGCCCAGCTAATTTTTGTACTTTTGGTAGAGAGAGGGTTTCACCATATTGCCCAAGCTGGTCTTGAACTCCTGAGCTCAAGTCCACCTGCCTTGGCCTCCCAAAGTGTTAGGATTACAGGCATGAGCCACAGTGCCTGGCTAGGGTGTGTATATTTAACTTTCAATCATGTAAACATTCAAACATATAAAAAAAGATAAAGAAAATAATATAATAAATTTCCTTTTATTCATTACCCAGCTTCAAAAATATTGACTTACGGCCGCTTTTGTTTTGTGTGTGCCCTTACCCAATTCTTTCCCCTGCAAATGTCGGGTATCATATCATTTCATCCATAAATCTATCAGTAGCTTGCAGTATATTAAGGTCATGAAGTGCTATACCAATCTGTTTCTGATCTCGAAGCTTTCCAGAGCATAGGGTTTCCTTAACCTTAACAAGCACTTTTCTACGTAGTTATTAAGTGAGCGCATGACCAAACACTACTCTTCAGTCTTTGTCAGTGAACTGTCCCAACCCTGTCTCAACTGTCAGAGTACAATCTATCTAAACTTTATGCCCAACCCCTCGCTTCTCCCTGCTGGTCTAGATCCTCCCTGAGGATCTGCCTTTTCACAGCAAAGCCCCAGAGACTGACCCTCTGGTTTAGACTTAGTAGTCCAGATTTAGCTAGACCGGGAGGAGATAATCTATGTAAAGCAGTTTGCCCAGGCCCCTGCTCATGGTAAGGACTCAGTAAATGTTAGATGCTAGTAATGATGACGATGATGGTAACGATGATGACAAGGACCTAACAAAGAATCCTGTCAAGGACTCAGGCCCAAAAAGGACACAATAAAGATCTGCCCTCCTTGGTCTCCCAAAGTGCTGGGATTACAGGTGTGAGCCACTGTGCTCACACTGACTGATACAAATCCATACTATTGTCAAGAGAGCCCTGGTTAGTATCTGTTTTTATGTTTTATTTCCTTCACATAATGGAAAGCTTCTTGAAGGCAAGACCCATATCTTGCTTATCTGCAGAGTGATAGACACATAGTGAGTTTTAAAACACTGACTTTTAGAACTAATCCTGACTTAAATCACCTCTTCCTCAAAAGGCATTTTTAGGAGGGAAAGGGTATCAAATGAAATATAGCTGCAGGTGATGTAAATGTCTGGGAAATTATAGCAGCCAAATAAAGGAAACCACCAGTTTGAAGACACGGTAGTGGGGGAGTCTGGACAAATGTCAGTTAAAGATAAAATAACCTGTTTAAACTTTGACTAAACTATACAAAATAAAGTACGTTAAATAATGTTGGTCAAAAAGTGTCTAACAAATCCAGGCACAGAAATAATGGGAAAGATAGCTTTGTTAGCACTAAAAACTAAAAACTGATTAACCTCCCAACCTGGGAAACATGTAGCAAATATATAAAGTACATCTTTTTTTTTTTTTTTTTTTTTGAGACGGAGTTTCGCTCTTGTTACCCAGGCTGGAGTGCAATGGCGCGATCTTGGCTCACTGCAACCTCCGCCTCCTGAGTTCAAGCAATTCTCCTGCCTCAGCCTCCTGAGTAGCTGGGACTACAGGCACTCACCACTGTGCCCAGATAATTTTTTGTATTTTTAGTAGAGACGGGGTTTCACCATGTTGACCAGGATGGTCTCGATCTCTTGACCTCGTGATCCACCCACCTCGGCCTCCCAAAGTGCTGGGATTACAGGCTTGAGCCACCGCGCCCAGCCTAAAGTACATCTTTATAACCAAGGTGAATACTCTTTTTGTTTGTTTAGACATGAGTTTCTGCTTTGGATAGTTGGGTGAATAAATAAAAGAGACTGTCACTGCATTTAAGATCTGGAGTTAAACTATGTGTAAGAGAACCCTGGTACCATAAGATATTACAGAAATGATAGAAGGTGATGTCCAAGGCTAGGTTATACAGAATATGTGGCTTCTGCCTTAGTCTGGGAAAAATTTGCCACCATGTTGTATGGTCCTGTAAGCAGCCCTATGGAGAGATTAACAAGCAAGGAACTAAAGTATTCTGCCATCACTCAGCCCCAAATTGCCAGCCACGTGAGTGAGCCATCTTGGAAGCAGACCCTCTGGCCCGTTAATCCTTCAGATAACTAGAGCCCCGGCCAACGCTGATTGCAATCTTGTGAGACCCTGGGTAGAACACTCAGCTAAATTGTTCCTTGATTTCTAATGCATGTGAGATTTTAAAAAATGCTTATTATTGTTTTCAGCTGTTAAGTTTCAGGGTTATTTGTTATGCAATGACAGATAAATAATACAGATGCCTATCCTGGATCTAATGATGAAGAAACATCATGGCCAGGTGAGGTGGCTCATGCCTGTAATCCTAACACTTTGGGAGACTGAGGTGGGCAGATCACCTGAGATCAGGAGGTTGATATCAGCCTGGCTAACATGGTGAAAGCTTTTTTTTTTTTTTTTTAAAGAGAAAAAGAATAACAAGAAAAAGAACAAAGAAGAGGAAGAAAGAGAAAGAGGAAGAGGGAGAGAGAATGGGGGCACTGCTCCGTTGCCCGGGCTAGAATGCAGTCCAAACACGGGCATGCCTACAACTGTCCCCAACAATGGAGACACGAAAGAAAATGAGGGAAGAGAGCAACAAACAAGGAGCCAACCAACACCCCGCTCAAACCTCCAAGTTGATACGATGTGGGACCGACAAGAGCGCACACCCTGTGCAAAGTGGAGAGCTCTACAAATGCCAACTACGTCCACTTGTTCCAGATCGGAGTTCAAGTCCTGGACATCGTTGTTAATTTTCTGTCTCATTGATCTGTCTAATATTAATGTTGAAGTCTCCCACTATTATTGTGTGGGAGTCTAAGTCTCTTTATAAGTCTTGTAATGTCTGGGTATTCCTGTATTGGGTGAGTATATATTTAGGACCTTTAACTCTTCTTGTTGTTGCATTGATTCTTTTATCATTATATAATGTCCTTCTTTGCTTCTTTTGATCTTTGTTGCTTTAAATACTATTTTATCAGAGGCAAAAATTGTAACTTCTGTGTTTTATTTATTTATTTTTGCTCTCTGGTTGGTTGGTAAGTCTCTCTCCATCCCTTGTTTTGAGTCTTTGTGTATCCTTGAATGTGAAATGGGTCTGGATGCAGCATACAGTTTTGGTTTTTTGTCCAAATTGCCTGTCTGTCTTTGAATTGGGGAATTTAGTCAATTTAAATTTAGAATTAATAATGATATATGTGAGTTTAATACTGACATTTAATATTAGCTGGCTATTTTGCCCATTAGTTGATGTAAATTCTTCATTGTATTGATGTTCTTTACTTTTTGGTATTTTTTAGAAAGGCTGATACTGTTTGTTACTTTCTATGTGTAGTGGTTCTTTCAGAAGCTCTTGTAAAGCAGGCCTGGTGGTGATGAATTCTCTGAGTGCTTGCTTGTTCACAAAAAACTTTATTTTTTCTTCACTTATGAAGCTTAGTTTGGCTGGATGTGAAATTCTTGGTTGAAAGTTCTTTTCTTGGGGAGCGGGGTCCGGGTTGGCTGCCCAGGCCTGCCCGGGCCCGGGAGCATGAATCCCAGCACATATTCTTCATCTGGTGTCCTCGACGCTGGCGGCCTCGCTCCCCGCCTCCTGGAGCCCAGACTTACAGGCACCGCCCTCGGTGTCGCCTCAGTCCGTCCCGGGACTGCAGACTCTTAGGGCCCCTCTTCCCTGTCCATCTGCCTCTCGGTCCCAGCCTAGGGCCTGAAAGCGCTTGCTCTTTGCGCTGGGAAAAGGGGAACGCAGCACCCAAGCTCATCCTGTCCAAGTCTGATAGTCACTGGAGCTACCAGAAGCACCATGGGGCCCTGGGGAGAGCCCGAACTCCTGGTGTGGCGCCCAGAGGCGATAGCTTCAGAGCCTCCAGTGCTTGTGGGGCTGGAGGTGAAGTTGGGGGCCCTGGTGCTGCTGCTGGTGCTCACCCTTCTCTGCAGCCTGGTGCCCATCTGTGTGCTGCACAGGCCTGGAGCTAACCATGAAGCCTCAGCTTCCCGCCAGAAAGCCCTGAGCTTAGTAAGCTGTTTTGCGGGGGGCGTCTTTTTGGCCACCTGTCTCCTGGACCTGCTGCCTGACTACCTGGCTGCTATAGATGAGGCCCTGGCAGCCTTGCACGTGACGCTCCAGTTCCCGCTGCAAGAGTTCATCCTGGCCATGGGCTTCTTCCTGGTCCTGGTGATGGAGCAGATCACATTGGCTTACAAGGAGCAGTCAGGGCCGCCACCTCTGGAGGAAACCAGGGCTCTGCTGGGAACAGTGAACGGTGGGCCGCAGCATTGGCATGATGGGCCAGGGGTTCCACAGGCGAGTGGAGCCCCAGCAACCCCCTCAGCCTTGCATGCCTGTGTACTGGTCTTCTCCCTGGCCCTCCACTCTGTGTTTGAGGGGCTGGCAGTAGGGCTGCAGCGAGACCGGGCTCGGGCCATGGAGCTGTGCCTGGCTTTGCTGCTCCACAAGGGGATCCTGGCTGTCAGTCTGTCCCTGCGGCTGCTGCAGAGCCACCTTAGGGCACAGGTGGTGGCTGGCTGTGGGATCCTCTTCTCATGCATGACACCTCTAGGCATCGGGCTGGGTGCAGCTCTGGCAGAGTCGGCAGGACCTCTGTACCAGCTGGCCCAGTCTGTGCTAGAGGGCATGGCGGCTGGCACCTTTCTCTATATCACCTTTCTAGAAATCCTGCCCCAGGAGCTGGCCAGTTCTGAGCAAAGGATCCTCAAGGTCATTCTGCTTCTAGCAGGCTTTGCCCTGCTCACTGGCCTGCTCTTCATCCAAATCTAGGGGGCTTCAAGAGAGGGGCAGGGGAGATTGATGATCACGCGCCCCTGTTCTCCCTTCCCTCCCCCAGTGTGTGGGGAGTAGGAAGGAATGGGGAAGGGAAGTACTGAGGACCAAAAAGTTCTCTGGGAGCTAAAGATAGAGCCTTTGGGGCTATCTGATTAATGAGAGGGAAGTGGGCAGACAAGAGGCTGGCCCCAGTCCCAAGGAACAAGAGATGGTCAAGTCGGTAGAGACATGATCAGGGGACATTAGGATTGGGGAAGACACTTGACTGCTAGAATCAGAGGTTGGACACTATACATAAGGACAGGCTGACATGGGAGGCTGGAGATGGGCACCAGCTGCTGTGGGACGGGGGTATGGAGGGGTCATAAACTTAGAGTCAGTGTCCTGTCGGTCCTAGCTCATTTCAACACCCTGCCACTTGGAGTGGAACCCTCCTACTTTTCTTAGCTCCTACCCTCATATCTATCTCCCTCTTCCCGTCTTTCCTGAATAATGTCCTGAAGCATATTTTCCAGCTTGGATTCATTCTCTTCGTCACATTCAGGTACACCTATCAAGCGTAGATTAGGTCTTTTCACATAGTCCCATATTTCTTGGAGACTTTGCTCATTCCTTTTTATCCTTTTTTCACTAATCTTGTCTTCTAGTTTTATTTCATTGAGTTGGTCTTCGACCTCTGATATCCTTTCTTCTGCTTGATCAATTCGGCTGTTAAAACTTGTGCATACTTCACGTAGTTCTCGTATTGTGTTTTTCAGCTCCATCAATTCACTTATTTTCCTCTCTAAATTTTGTATTCTTGTTGACATTTCGTCAAACCTTTTTTCAAAGTTCTTCCTGAAATGGTCTCTCCCTGCCAATTTTGGTATCTTCTCTGACCTCTCCAGTCCTGCTTACTCCTCTATTTTTAAAGTGCCAAACATCCCCTCCCTCTTTCTCAAAGCACAGTAATGTGGCACTGAGCCCTACCCAGCACCTCAGTGAAGGGGGCCTGCGTGTTCTTTATTTTGGTCCCAGATCCTGGGGTGGGGCAGAAATACTTGCTATGCTGGGGTAGGGGGAAGGTTGGAAAGCTGCAGCCACCTACTGCTGCTGCACCCTAGGAACATGGGACATGGACATGGTGCCCCATGCCCAGATGATAAACACTGAGCTGCCAAAACATTTTTTTAAATATACTCGAGGAGTCCAAGGGGGAAGGGCAATGCCTACCCCCAGGGTTATGTTTTGGGAGGGAGGGCTGTGCATAGGGTCATATTCTTTAGAATCTATTTTATTAACTGACCTGTTTCCCAAATAAAAGATGTTTCTAGACAAAAAAAAAAAAAAAAAAAAAAAAAAAAAAAAAAAAAAAGAAAGTTCTTTTTTTTAAGGATGTTGAATATTGGTCCCCACTCTTTTCTGGCTTGTAGGGTTTCTGCTGAGAGATCTGCTGTAAGTCTGATAGGCTTCCCTTTGTGGGTAACCTGACCTTTCTCTCTGGCTGCCCTTAGTATTTTCTCCTTCATTTCAACCCTGGTGAATCTGACGATTATGTGCCTTGGAGTTGCTCTTCTTGAGGAATATCTCTGTGGTGTTCTCTGTATTACCTGGAGTTGAATATTATCCTGCCTTACTAAGTTGGGAAAATTTTCCTGAATAATGTCCTGAAGCGTATTTTCCAGCTTGGATTCATTCTCTTCGTCACATTCAGGTACACCTATCAAGCGTAGATTAGGTCTTTTCACATAGTCCCATATTTCTTGGAGACTTTGCTCATTCCTTTTTATCCTTTTTTCACTAATCTTGTCTTCTAGTTTTATTTCATTGAGTTGGTCTTCGACCTCTGATATCCTTTCTTCTGCTTGATCAATTCGGCTGTTAAAACTTGTGCATACTTCACGTAGTTCTCGTATTGTGTTTTTCAGCTCCATCAATTCACTTATTTTCCTCTCTAAATTTTGTATTCTTGTTGACATTTCGTCAAACCTTTTTTCAAAGTTCTTCGTTTCTTTAGATTGTGTTAGAACAAGTTCTTTTAATTCACAGAAGTTTCTTATTATCCACGTTTTGAAGCCTGCTTCTGTAATTGGAACACACTCGTTCTCCATCAAGCCTTGTTTCGTTGCTGATGAGGAACTGGGATCCCCTGCTGAGGAAGAGGCGTTTTGATCTTGGGTATTCTCAGCCTTTTTTGACTGTTTCCTTCCCTTCGTTGTAGATTTATCCATCTGTGGTCTTTATAATTACCGTCTTTGTAATTGGGTTTCTGAGTGGACGTCCAACTTATTGATTCTCAGCGCCGAAATCTGAGCAACCCACTGCACCGACTAAATCGGCGGCGTTAAGATTGATGGTGCTTTTCTGACTCTGCACCAAGAACCGACGCTCTGAGGCGCCGGCAAAACCGCCTCGCCGGTCACAAGAGTCGCGCTGGCGACCCGTGGGGCTCCTCCGCTGGGAATCTCCTGGTGCGTGAGCAACAAGAATTCATGTGAAGGTGTGGCGTCCTCTCGTTCTTTGCGTTTTCACTGGGAGCTACAATCCCGAGCTGCTAGTGATCAGCCATCTTGGATCTCTCTCGGTGAAAACTTATCTGTACTAAAAATACAAAAGTTAGCCAGGCATAGTGGTGGTTGCCTATAATCTCAGGCAATTACTTGCGAGGGTGAGGCAGGAGAATCGCTTGAACCTGGGAGATAGAGGTTGCACTGTGCTGAGATCACACCATTGTACTCCAGCCTGGGGCAACAAGAGTGAGACATCATCTCAAAAAAAAAAAAAAAAAAAAGGAAACATCAGATAAATCAAAATTAAGGAACATTCAAAAAAAAAAAAAACAAAACTGGCATGGTCATGAAAGTTAAAGAAGAGATGAAGGAATTGTTTTAGATTGAAGGAGACCAAAGAGATAAGACAACCAAATATAATTCATGATCTAAACTAGATCCTTCTGCAATGTCTCCCAAGAACATTATTGGGACAACTGGCAAAACTTGAGTGGAATCTGCAGATTAGATGGCAGCTATGTATCGATGTTAATTTCCTGATTTTGGTGGTTGTGTACTAGTAATATAGAATGTATTTGTGTGTAGGAAATAAAACTAAAGTATTTGAGGATTCTGGAGTTTCGGATTTGTAATTTTGTATTGCATTTGCAAGTTTTCTGGAAGTTTATTTTAAAATTTAAAAAAGTACTGAAAATGGAGTTAACTAATACAAATTACATTGGCTACAATCCAAATATATTGACTGGCCTTAAGAGTTTCATGGCCACATACAGTGTTTTCACAGATCAGTCGTATCTGAGATGGGCATTCCAGGTAGACAGACTAGGTTGGAAATGGCCAGAAGAGCAGAGATTGGCAGATGCAGGGAGCATTAAGGGTAAGTAGATGGGTATGACTTGATCATTCAATACAGACAGGGAAGGAAATAAGAAAGGAGAGGGAAAGCTCAGAGACTGGGGAGTTTGAACTAAATGTAGCCTAATTATATCTGTATTTAGAAACATTCTACTGTAAGTTTTTTATGGATATGTACTTTTTATTAATGTAAAATATGCATATAGAAAAGTATAGAAATCAGAAGTGTACAACTCAATGCATTTTTTTTTTAAGACAGAGGCTCACTCTGTTTTCCCGGCTAGAGTGCAGTGATATGATCTTGGCTCACTGCAACTCCACCTCTCAGGTTCAAGCAATTTTCATGCTTCAGCCTCCCAAGTAGCTGGATCTACAGGCACATGCCACCATGTCCAGCTACTCTGTGTGTGTGTGTGTGTGTGTGTGTGTGTGTGTGTGTGTGTGTGTACACATATATATATTTATTTATTTTTATATATTTTTAGTAGAGACAAGGTTTCACCATGTTGCCCAGGCTGGTCTCGAATTCTTGACCTCAACTGATCTACCCACCTCAGCTTCCCAAAGTGCTGGGATTATAGGCATGAGCCAATGTGCCCGTCCATGGCCAGTGAATTTTTATTCAATGAACACATCTGTGTAACCATCACCCAGATCAAGAAATGTTATAAATTCAGTTCTCTCAATCTCACCCACCTGCACTTCTCTACCCCATGAAAGGAAGTGCAGGTGGTGAAGCCTGACTGGTCTCTGTGCACACCTGATGGTACCTTCAGCAACTTCTCCTGTATGAGCATTTCTTTTTTTTGAGACAGGGTCTCATTCTGTTGTCTGGGCTGGACTGCAGTGGTGCAATCACAGTTTACTGCAGCCTCGACCTCTGAGGCTCAACCAATCCTACCACCTTAGCCTCCTGAGTAGCTGGGACTGCGGGGATATGCCACCACACCTGGTTAACTATTTTCATATTTTTTTGTAGAGATGAGGTCTTGCTAGGTTGCCTAGGCTGGTCTCCATCTCTTTGGCTCAAGTTGATCATCCCGCCTCTGCCTCCCAAGTGCTAGGATTACAGGTGTGACCCACTACATCCCCCTGCATTTCTCTTTTGTTGTTTGTTTTTAGATGGAATTTCACTTTTGTCACCCAGGCTGGAGAGCTATGGTGCCATCTTGGCACATTGCAACCTCCATCTCCCAGATTCAAGCAATTCTCCTGCCTCTCCCTCTCGAGTAGCTGGGATTACAGGTGGCCACCAACTACCATGCCTGGCTAATTTTTGTATTTTTAGCAGAGAAGGGGTTTCACCATATCCACCAGGCTGGTCTCAAACACTGGACCTCAGGCTATCCTCCCACCTTGGCGTCCCAAAGTGCTAGGATTACAGGCATTTAGTCACCGAACTGGGCCTTGGCCACACATTTCTTTTTATTTTATTTTATTTTTTATTTATTTATTTATTTTTCTTCCTTACCCTGATTTTACAAGGCCATGCATTTCTTAATAATAGGCTGCCACAACTGGGCACGGTGGCTCACACCTGTAATCCCAGCACTCTGGGAGCTGAGGCATGAAGTCAGGAGATCCAGATGATCCTGGCTAACATGGCAAAACCCTGTTTCTACTAAAAATACAAAAAATTAGATGGGTGTGGTGGTGTGCACTTGTAGTCCCTGCTACTTGGGAGGCTGAGGCAGAAGAATTGCTTGAACTCAGGAGGCAGAGGTTGCAGTGAGCTGAGATTGCACCACTGTACTCCAGCCTGGTGACAGCAAGACTCCCTCTCAAAAAAAAAAAAGAAAAGAAAAGAAAAGAAAAAAAAATAAGCTGCAACACTAAAAACAGACAAAACAGATGCTCACACCCATGAAGACAAAGTGTTAACAAGGAAATAGTAAACAAAGTGTAAATCATCTTTATCCTTTACAGTTCAGTTCAAATATTATTGCTTTTGTCTTGTCCTGTTTCCCAAACAGAGCTAGTTAACATCCTATTGGATGCTACCATAGCATTTCCTATATTCCTCACTCATAGTGATAATCACAGTATTGTAGTTTTGTTGTTTTCTTCCCCCCCAGTTTTCTCACAGACAGTGAGGAAGGGAATGTCTCTTGTTCTCTGTGTAACCTTCATGGCA